AGAATCTACACTTATATAGACAAGAATTATTTTACTTTAGGGACAAACACTAGGAATGGGTTTAAAAAAAAAAAGAGTAATTTTATATTTTTATCAGTTACCTGCAACTTATGGAGTTGTAAGATTGCTCAAATACAAAAAAGACTAGAATCAGATAACCTGTAGACAATGTGTTATTTTCCATTGAAATACAACTTTTCCCCTACAGTCACATTAAATTTGTAGATAGGCCAGTGTGGTGCCTCACACCTGTGATCCCAGCACTTTGGGAGGCCAGAGTTGGAAGATTGCTTGAGGAGTTTAAGACCAGCCTGAGCAACATAGGGAGACCCCATCTGTACAAAAAAATTAAAAAAATTAGCTGGGCATGGTGGTGTGTACCTGTATTCCCAGCTACTTGGAAGGCTGAGGCAGGAGATCACTAGATAGTCCTGGAATTCAAGGTGGTGGTGAGCTATGATTGTGCCACTGCACTCCAGCCTGGACAACAGAGCAAGACCCTGGCTCTTAAAAAAAAATTTAGATAATCCTTAAATAACTGTTCATAAACATTAGCTCCATAGCATAATAAGAAATATTAATATCATTTTATTTTGATGAAGTGAATTAGTGACAACAACTAAGATCTCTCCTGTCGCCAAAATTTAAAATAGTTCAATTGTATTTGATAAAGGTACCAGAAAATTCAATGGGGAAAGAATAGTCTTTTCCACAGATGGTAGAGGGACAACTGGAGATTCACATACAAAAGAATGAATTTAGATCCCTACGTCATACCTTATAAAAAAATTAATTCAGAATGGACCAAAGACTTCAGTGTAAGAGTTAAAACTGTAAAAGACTTACAAGAAAACACAGTAGTAAATCTGTGTAACCTTGGGTTGGGCAATAATTTCTTAGATAGCACATCAAAAACATAGCAATAAAAGAAAACAGTGATAAATTTGACTTCATCAAATTAAAAACTTTTGTGTTTTAGATGACAACAAGAAAGTAAAGACAACCTATAGAATAGGGTAAATATTTGTAAATCCTATACCAAAAATATTATATATGGAATATACAAATAACTCATAACTCAATAATAAAAGACAAATAACCCAATTTAAAAATGGGCAAAGAGTCTGAATACACATTTCTCTAAAGTTGATAGAATAGCCATAAGCACATGAAAAGATGCTCAATACCGTTACTCTTTAGGGAAATACAAATCGAAGCCACAATGAGCTACCACTTCACACCTACTAGGATAGCTAGAATAAAAAATGAAAACAGAATAATAAGTGTTAGTAAGGATGTAAAGAAATTAGAACTCACCCACTGCTGGTGGGAATGTAAAATGTTGCAGCCACTTTGGAAAACAGTCTTGCAGTTCTTCAAAATGTTAAATACAGAGTTACCATATGACCCAGCAATTTCACTTCTTGGTGTTTGCTCAAGAGAAATGAAAACAGATGGCT